CCTTCTCCCCCCCTCCAACTTCCTTCTTCTCCCCCCTCCAATGTCCTTCTTCTCCCCCCTTCTTCTCCCCCTCCAACTTCCTTCTTCTCCCCCCTCGTCTCCAATTTCCTTCTCCCCTTCCCTCTCATTGCCTTCTCCCCCCCTCTCCAATTTCATTCTCCCCTTCCCTCTCATTGCCTTCTCCCTCTATCGATTTGGTTTCCTCTCCCCCCCTCCTCAAAGTTTCCTTCCTCTCCCCACCTCCAAAGTTTCCTTCCTCTCCCTCAAATTTCCTTCCTCCCCCCTCCTTCCTCTCCCCTCCTCGGTTCCTTCTTCCCTCCCCCTCAAATTTCAGCTTCCTCTCTCCCCCCTCAGGAATTTCTTCTCCTTCCTCCCTTCCTTCTTTCCTCCTTCAAGATTTCTTTCCCCTCAGTTTCTTTCTCCCACTCCCTCTTTTAGAGATTTCTTTCCTCCCCTCCTCCTTAAGTTTCTTCCTCCCCTCAAATTTCCCCTTCAAGTTTCTTTCCTCCCCCTCCCTTCGTTCTTTCCTCCCTCCACTCCCTTAAATTTGTTTTTCCCCCTCCTCAAGTACCCCCCCTTAAATTTATTTCCTCCCCCTCCTCCTCCCTCAAATTTACTCCCCCCCCTCCCTCTGACAGCCGGCCGGCGCGCGAGGGAGCACTCTCCTCTGAGGGAGCTGAAGAGGAAGCACTCAGAGGAGAGTGCTCCCTCGCGGGCCAGCCTCTGGGGGGCCCTGAGGTGACCGGCTGCTGGGCCCCCCAGGAGAAGAGGCTGGCCCAGTGGGTACATACCAAGGTCGCAGGGCCCCCTGCAACCCGGTATGTACCGACTGAATGTGGGGCCCGGACGACCTGAGCAGTCCGGGTCCCCCAGGACCGCCGGGCCCATGACAACCGTTGCGGTTGTCATGCCCTGATGGCGGCCCTGAACAGCAATAATACAATAATGCCTAAATATTACTACCCCAGGACTCTATTTATAGTAATTTTACTAATTACAGACTTTAAAACTTTGAGACATACATATCATAAATCAAATCATAAAAGTCATTGCATGATCAGCAACATATCTGAAGGCGTTAATTTTATGGCAGGACAGGAGGCTTCATATTTGCTTTACCTTCTTTACTGAAACCTCTAGCAGCAAAGAAACAGTTAACAGAACTTTTCAAAACAAAGCAACAGTAGTATAAAACCCTTAAGCAGGCTCTTCCACTTCCTCTTGCTTTGCTGCTGCCTCCAGGTGAGCACTCACCAACTCAGAGTTGTCTCTGCTCTGGGTTGTTTTTTTATCCTACATGCTGCTTGTTTATTTAAACAGTCTATTTAATCAGTCTATTTGCTAGATTTGTTTAGGCAGCTTAATTGCTGAAATTTATTTAGGCAGGGTTCTTGCTAGATTTGTTTTAACAGTTTGTCTCCTGTGTTTATCTAGGCAGTCTATTGCTGGGTTTATCTAGGCAGTCTATTGCTGGGTTTAGCTAGGCAGTTTATTTCCTATACCACTTCATGCTATGTAGCTGCATTATCACTTGTTAACATCTGTTGCTGTATTTAGGCTATTTATCTGATAGATTATGGACACTGCTCATTGATTTATTGTGATTCTGGGTTACTTTATGCAGTTTTTCTCACTCTGCTGTATGTGGAATGGGTGCCCCTGCTATGATGCTTTGGCTCTGCTTGTAATCTGTTTCCCCTCCCCGGGTTCTCCTGCTGGGCTCTGTCGCCCATACCCTTTCTCCCTTTATTCCCCACCTGCTCCCCGCAGCCCCTGGCCGCTTGCTGAGCAGCTTTTTCAACCATGGCAGTGCCGCACGATCACCACGCAGTAGGCCGCGCTCGTTTTTTGCGGCGGCCATTTTGTTGGAGCCGCGGACGCCATTTTTCGGAGCCGCATGGGCTCTGTGCGTTGCGAACAGCCCGGTCTCACACACCGAACTGGCCTGCTGTGGCCACCCTCCCTTCTCCCTATATCAGGGAGCTATCCCCCTACTTACTGTGCCTGTCTCACATGCTGCATATGTAACAGATCCTGGATAGCAGGCACTCTCACAGCCCACAACTGCAGCTTACTATGATGTCTGATGCAATGTGACTATGTTCTCTATCTTAGCAGTAGACTTGTCATGCTTTTATTACTAATTAAATGTGAATCTCAGATTTAAAGGGGCATGTTACTGCTCAAATAAAAAATCATTGTTTACAAAATCATTGTTTATCAAGACTATGCCACATGTGATATATGCTAATCAAGTCTTTCTCTTAACGTTCAGTCATTTTCTCAAAAATGTAAATGGTCTGTTTTTCAGCACCTAGCTCCCCTGCCTAGGATTTGCTGCCCTTTCTGCAAGGGACTTAAATTTTTCCACTATACATACACTTCAAAAGTATATCCTAATATAATACCTGAGTGGTCTGTAGATGTGAGTCAGCTTCTAGCTGTATTGACCCTTCTACCCCTCAGGGGGGCTAACTGGCCCCACATACAGCCCTGTTATTACGGGGGGGTGACCCCCCCTGTCCATATTTCTGGGGCTCTAGCCGCTACTGGACCATAATAATGGACGTGTGACACCATTGTGGGCTGGGTGACCCCCTCCCTCTGGCAACATGGCTACCAAGGAGTACCCTGGCTGGCTCTAAGGCATCCTGTAGGATTAATGCTGAGGGTGACCCCCTCCTGCTTCCTACACTAATGCTCCGGCAATGTCCTGTTATCATCATACCGAGGGGGAACCCCTCCTACAGTCTGCACTGCTGGACCTGCAGCATCTGGGTATTCCCATAAAAGAGGGTACCCCTACCAACTGATTGAGCTGCTGTTCTTACAGTGCCCTGCTATACACAGATACTGAGGGTGACTCCCTCCTGTGGACTACTCTGCTGGACCTACAGGGTCCCATTATAACCATAATGAGGGTGACCCCCTCTCGCTGACTACACTACTGGGTGTACAGACCTCTATTATACCACACTGAGGGTGACCCCCTCTTACGTACAGCACTGCTGGATCTGCAATGCCCGGTTATGGTTACATGAGGGTGACCCCCTCCTGCCGTCTGCACTGCTGGACCGGCAATGTCTGGTTACTTTATTATACGGCTAACCACTACGGCACTACTGTACCTACAGTGTCAGATTATGTTCAGACTGAGGGCCTATACTGCATGATATGCTTGTGCTTGTTGGGTGACCCCCAGCTGGCCGCACCAGGTATCACTCCGACAGTGTTACCTCTATGGCAGTTATGCAATCACGACTGAAGGACAAATCTCCCATACCCAAAAGGTCACTTGGCCTGTCCTCATGCCGCCCCGCTGACCTCACTGCCAGAAACCATTGGTACCCTAGAGGGCACACTCCACCGGCCATCCTAGACGCTACACCAAGCACCCCTGGTACTCGTTGGCTAACGGATGGATTCATCAAGAGGATCAGTCTTCATGACGGAGTCCGGAAAGGACACTGCAAACACCTGACACAGGGTTTGCACTCTATCCGGGACTTACCACTGGATGTCGATGACACGCGGACACAGATGTTTCCTTGAGACGAATGGCGCGTTACAGCTTGGAAAGTGGAGAAGACTAAATTCCCATTGGGAATGGACCGATATGACTTATAGGTATCGCCTAGTTGATTTGAGAACCGCAAAACGGCCCCTGTCCAAGCTGGACATCAAACTGACGGATTTGGCATCCAAGTGCTGGGTCTGCTCTCCGGAGTAACCCTCACATACAAATTGAGCTGACACGTCTCTATTCATTGGGTTCCCCCTTAACTAGCCCCAGAGGTGTCTCGGACCGTGCCCGGACTCAGGATCAAGGTTGCGGAACCTTGGACCGTTCCATGAGCGATACGCATGACCAAAAGAGGCGTCCATTCCGAAGTTGCCCTGCTGGGCGAAGGGTGCGGTGGAGTGGACTCTAGCCCCATCCCCACGCTACATGCTCCCAGTGCATATGTCGCCTGTTGACACTTCAAGACGGAGGGCACTCATCCCCTCAGAGCTGCTCGGCGTGGACGATTGGTTCTCTCCCTCAACTGGACATGAGAGGACCCCGCATGGATTTCACCATCAACATGGACATATTGAATCTGACTCACTCCCAGTCAACCCAGTTTCTGGTCTTTCATGGAATATTCGGTCCAGACGGTGCTCCGCCTCCCGAGGACCAAGATGTCAGTCTGCAAGGATAATACCAGGCATTTGCTCCGCAACCCGCGGGTCACACTTAGGGGCCCAACCCGGTCAATTGACGGGCTGTTATTCACCATGGAGGACATACCTCCAGGATCCAATACTATCAGCCGCTCCAACATGACGCTTTCTCGGGTCTTCGGCCTGGTATGACTGAATCATGCGACCTTCGGATGAAGCTCATCTAAAACTTAATTGATGACTCCGACATAGGGGCACCTGGCCTACCTAGGAGTTTTGGACCACAACCAACTTTGGCCTGGACCCTGGAGTCCGGAGGAAGTAGTATTGCTCGCTACCTTCCGGCATGGACTTATCACCGGTTGCCCACTACGGACTGCAGTCAGATCTCACGTAGGATCACTATCTATAGCTTCTGGACAAGTATTCATCATTTGTGGCAGAATGTCTGCGGGATGAGACACTCATGTGGCGGACGGCTTCACCCGACCATGGAGAGACCACAATGATTGGTTGCCTCACCCTCCGGGGTCTCAAGTACTGGCATGATTACATTCGGTGCGAACTGCCATACGGAGCAGTTCTCCAGCTTGCTGCCGGACCCTCAGCGAGACGAGGGACGCGTTTTCCAAGCTTGGTCTCCTTCGGGGCGTACGCATCCCGTTTACCTACAGGATACTTAGTGCTTTGCTTCAGACCGAATTCCTGGAAGTGTTGTTTCGCCTGGCCACACCACTTCGGAGGAGTCCTCTATGCTTTCCCCTTTTTGCTGGAGTTTGCCATGGGAAGGCAATCTACGACTCCCTGTCTCTTAATGTCCCGTGTGTGATCCACAGGGGTAGCCTGCCACGACTGGAGAGATGTTTGGGTCCCTATGGCGGTCCTTATCATGGCTGTTCCCATTGTCTGGCTGAGTTGCCCTCTCAGGGTAGGATCGTATGGGGCCATTCACGTCCTAGGTCAGCTAGTGGACAACTCATGCGTTTTCTCAAGATTCTGGCATTGCTAAGGATCTCTTGGTCTGCAGTCTACCAAGAGGAGTATACCATACGGGAGCCCTATCTCTCGCTATTCCTCAATTCTAGTGGTATTGTGTGTTCTGCATTTCCTTGAGGAATGACCTGATGACAAGGACTTACCTTGCGCCAGGTTTTTCCGCTTACGGTTTTCCCCAGTACATCTTGTATTTCATTGTGTTCTGACGTCATGGTATCGATGTAGTTTCTTCTTCCTTCTTGCCGTTCAGTACATCGGCTTCTGCTCCACACGTCTTTTCTATTCATCCTGTGTCGTCCCCCTATTCTCCGGATAGGCCACAGCTCTGTTGACAGGTTGTACACGACCATGTAGATCCAGGATCTGGTTCTTTCGTCCGTCTACTTATGGACAGCTGTTGATTTCTGCGCATGGCCGTTTTGGACTGTTTCTGCATCTTCGCTCGCCCGTTGGATTTGGTGGATCCTCTCATTGGCTGACCTTGAGAGTTTCTCTGGGACACTTTTGGTTCGGAGTGCTGTCACCTCAACAACTTTGGAAGCCGTTGGGTCCCTTCTGCATTTTCTCTACACCGCTGCTTGGTTTAGGGATTCTGTTTTTCCATTCTCCTTTTATTTCAGTCCTCTATCTCATATTGCTTCTGGTTCTACTATTTGGGCGTTAAAATTGCAAATATGAAGCCTCCTGTCCTGCCATAAAATTAGCGATTATTCTAGCCTCGGTGAGGGAATAATCACCCCCTTTCCCCACCTTTTTTACGTTCCCTCCCTGGATTTAGTTCTTATTCTATTATAAATAATTGGGGATATTGTTATGTTTTGTGAATGCATGGTTTTACATAATAAAGGTTATTTCTATTATTCAGTGATTGTCCGTGTGCATTTTATTCATCATGTTTATGTTGTAATTATGTTTCGTCAATGTCTTTTAGTTTAGGTACTTACTAGATACTAGTTCTTAATAAGATCTGTAGACTTTGTTTATTCATCAGCAGGGCCAGATTAAGAGCCCAGTGGGCCTGGTGCTGACAATTATGATGGGGCCTAATTACAGAAATGTCACGGCCCCTGGCTCGCAGCGAGGTGCGGTCGCAACGGACCAGTACGACCGCGCCAACAAACTGAGCTTACCTGCTCAGCGGTGAGTCGGGAGCCGCTCTGCCGGGTTCTCCCAGCTGCCTGCCCGGGATCAAGATGGTGCTGAACACGCAGTCGCAACTAGATATAGCTCTGCCCCCCTGGGTCACACACACACGTTCTGCAGTCAGAGGCCAGAGGGATATTTAACCTAGGTTATTGCCCTGTCGTGGTTTTCGTTCCTGGGTCCTGAATCCTTGGAGTGCGTTTTCTTGTCCTGTTTTTGATTTTCCCAGTATTTTGACCTTGGCTATTCCTGACTATTCTGATTCCTGGCTTCCCTGACTTGGCTTGTTAAATGGTATTGTATATTTCTGGCTCCCTTGACCATTCTCTGTTTTTAACATATTAGTCCGGCCATTCTAAGGACCGGTTTACGTTTCATAATTTTCTGTTCGGTCTATGTAGAGGTTACATAGTTCTGCATGCTGGACCACACTAGCAGTCATGACAAGAATCTTATCGACCATAGACACTAAAACAGTCATACCTCTCAAGCGTCAAGTATCTAATGGAGATGGTGTTGGAGGGAAACTCAAAGGATGCAGCTTTAAGAAAACACATACTCTATGCTAATCTCTCTCTAATTTATGCTTTAATCTTTGACGTAAACCCATACCCCCTAACAGCAGTATCCAGTGAACCTGGAAGTCAATGGGGACACTGGGAGAAATGGAGACACAGACACTAGAAGACATGGGGACACTAAGACACTAGGGACACTGAGACACTAGGGACATTTGGGGACACAGAGACATGGGACACAGACACTGGGAGACATGGGGACACAGACATTAGAGAAACTGGCTGGGAGACATGGGGACACTGAGACACTAGGGGGGACTGGCTGGGATACATGTGGACACTGGGAGACATGGGGACACAGACATTTGGGGACACTGGGAGACATGGGGACACAGACACTAGGGACACTGAGAGACATGGGGACATAGACACTGGGAGGCACTGACTAGGGGACACAGACAATGGGGACACTGGCTTGGAGGCATGGGGACACTGTGTCCCATGTGTCTCTGTGTCTCAGTGTGTCTCCCAATGTCTCCATCTGTCTTAGCATCCCCATATCTCACAGTGTCCCCTAGTTTTTCAGTGTCCCCATGTGTCCCTTAGTGTCACAGTGTCCCCATGTCTCCCTGCAGCCTTTCCCCCCCATTCTTCACTTACCTGAGCTGTAGGCTGTCTCTGCAGGCTGGGAGTTGCTGTCTGGACTCTCTGTAGCTGCTCCCCTGCGGATCGGTGAGTAGAGAGGGGCAGGGAGGGATATGCTGTAACTTCCTATCCCTGCCTCTCTCCACACACTGGCTGGTGCTGGTATTGCAGAGTAATCTCAGTTTATACTGAGAAAAATACCTGCATTTGTATTGCCGGTATTACTGCAATACCGACACGGCCAGGCAGCCTCAAATACCGGCTGTGCTGGTAAAACACCAGTCAGATGGCAAACCTAACAGTAGTGTATGTGTAAAAAAAAAAAAAAAAAAAAAAAAATTTTTTTTTTTTTTTTTTTAAATGGGCCTATTGCCTGGGCCTGGAGCTGCAGCTCCATCAGCCCTATGTTAATCCGGCCCTGTTAGGTATTATGAGGTGCAGGTGATATTGTATGGATATGACATCTTGCTTTGACAGTTTACTTTCACAATGTTTTCTGTTTTCTTGCAGTGTAATCTGTTTTCTCTCTGGGCTTGACGATTGTTTCTCTGGATGTGTCTGCTACAAGGTGGATTTGTTGGTTTCCTTGCTCTCCTGCTCGACCTCATCAAAGAAAGAGGAAGTGGAAGAGCCTGCTTAGGGGTTTTATACTACTGTTGCTTTGTTCTGATTGGTTGTTTAGAAAAGTTCTGTTAACTGTTTCTTTGCTGCTGGAGGTTTCAGTAAAGAAGGTAAAGCAAATATTTGCCTCCTGTCTTTAATACAATTTAGATTATTCCCTCACCGAGGCTAGAATAATCCCTAATCAGTCTCAATCAAGGGATTCCACTCCCATAGTCTATGTCAGTATACACATTTTAAACTCAACAATCAGCAATGAACACACTGAACCAATGAGTTTCTTCCCCTATTTCAATTCAGTGCTCTGTACCGGCCGGTTCCCTTCTGATGAGCCTGGTAGGGCGAAATGAGTGCATCATGTAGTGCTACCTTCTATGACTTTAAACCACCGCGTAAATGTTTTTATTGAATCACTTAGTGATTGTATTACATCCTTGCAATTATTAGGTTCTCAGTATCTAGGGAGGTTTGCAGTAGGTGCCCTCAAAAGGCACAGGAGGGAAAATATTTAGAACAGGGAACTTATTGGTAGGAGACTTTCGATAGCTAACGGCGGTGTTTTTTATATATCAGGTAGTGAGCCACGTTCCATTAGCTATTACCGCAGCATTTTCTTGCATATGGACAACCACCAAGCCATTAACTTTTACTAGATTTCGGTATAGTTCTCCTGATTTCCCCTTTTCTCCTCCTCTGTATATTTACTGTTTCCTCTCTTCCTATTTTTGTTGCATTAGATGGAATTTTCAATTTAAGCACAGACATGTGCACGACTAATCCTGTATTGGGTTTACTCCATTACTGCACATGACCTTATTACAGGGTATGTTGTTGTTTAACCCTTACTAATCTACAATCAAGGATTTGTTATCGCTACTTCTCCTAGCTAGGCTACTTACATCCTGTTCCAAATTATGATGCAAATTATATTGATGTAAATAACAGTCAGCATAATTCTCATGTTATCAACTATTAAGAGTACAATTCAAATTTTATTGAACAAACCTCCTAATGATAACAGTATTTTTTTAAACATAAAAAACTTACAATGCACTGTTCCAAATTATTACGCACAGTAAGTTTCAAAACACTTTATAGGTTGTAAAGAACTGAAAATTGTCATTTGTTGTGTTTGCAGCATATTTACTGAAATCAAAAGCTATTTCAATCAAACTTATAACAACATTTTAACTTTTTAAACATTTTAACAGGTCATGTTACATTTTAACATAGGACCACTTATTTGATAGCAGCTTCACAAGTCTTGCATCCATTGAACTTGTGAGTTTTTGGACAGTTTCTGCTTGAATTTGTTTGCAAGATGTCAGAATAGCTGCTGTTTGGATGTAAACTGCCTCCCACCCTCATAGATCTTTTGCTTGAGGATGCTCCAAAGGATCTCAATAGGATTGAGGTTAGGGGAGGATGGAGGCCACACCATTACCTCCTTTCCTTTTATCCCCACAGCAGCCATTGATGCAGAGGTATTCTTTGCAGCATCTTCATGCATTGTCATGCATGAAGATGATTTTGTAACGGAATGCATAGTTCTTCCTTCTGTACCAGGGAAGAAAGTGGTCAGTCAGAAACTCCACATACTTTGCATCATCTTTACACCTTCGAGGACCCTAAAGGGGCTGACCAGCTCTCTTCCCATGATTCTGGCCCAAAACATGACTCCACCACCGCCTTGCTGACGTCGCAGCCTTGTTGGAACAGGGTGACCGTCCACCAACCAACCACTACTCCATCCATCTGGACCATCAGGGTTGCACACCACTCATCAGTTTACAGGACTGCTTGAAAATTAGTCTTCATGTATTTTTCTTCCCAATGCAGCCATTTCTGCTTGTGTAATGGTATTTTAGCAGCTGCTCTCTTGATCCGATGCATGGATCTGGCCAAAATCTTCCTCAATGTGCCTTTATCTGCACAAACCCGTCTGTGCTCTGAATCAGCCACAAATCTCTTAATAGCGCGATGATCACTCTTAGGTTTTCATGAAATATCTAATGTTTTCATACCTCGTCCAAGGCATTGAACTATTTCACTCTTTTCGGCAGCAGAGAGATCCTTTTTCTTCCCCATAGTGCATGAAAATGGTGTTCTGCTTAATAATGTGGAACACCCTCCTCTAGTAGTTTTTGCTTAAATTGGGCTCACCTGGCAATCTAATTATCACAGGTGTCCGAGATTGTTTTCAGTGATCAAAAGAGCCCTGAGACACAATGCCATTCATGAGTTAAACTGAAAAACAAAATATTTAATCTTTGTGACACTTAAATAGACTTTGCATAATAATTTGGAACAGTGTGTATTTTACCTAGGCTAGTTACATTTTGTTATCCATCTCTAGTAGTGATATTTATTACTATGGTATTGGTTTTATTTCCTAATACATATCTCTCCATTCAAGTTTTTGTGCACGAGTACATTTAGATTTTAAATTCTATATTAATAAATAAAAATTATTTATTTTCTTCTTTTTATTATATTGCTCCTTGTCTGAGACATTCTGCATTAATTGGTTACACATCTTATTCATCCCAGTTCCTCCTGTTACACATTCTTTGTTAGTTTATCAATAAGAACAGTATTCCAATGCACGACACTCCCACACATAGCATACAATCCCTCCCTCTTCCTGGGAGATAACGGAGTCAGATACTGTATTAACCCAATTATCTCCAGGCAGAAAAAACACATTTCTATAAAGTACCCCAACACATATAATATCCCCACAAATGTTACATCCCCTGATAGCCCTGATCTTGGTGACCAACATGTCCAAAAGTCACCCAGATCAGTTCAGGTGTTCAGGAATTTTATGGAAGTAATTTATTTGACCAACCGCAGGCATGGTCCCATGCACAAAACAGTTCCAGAGAATCAGGGCTTGCGGTCGGTCTAGTTTGGTAGTTTGAAAATGAACAAACTACTGAACAGAGTCAATAGTCTTACCCTGGAGCTTGATCCATTAATGCAGAAGAATGATCCCACCGAACAGTGCTCCTATAACTTGTATAGAACCGAATGCAGGTGATGATGGAAGTCCAGCGGTGTTCGGGAGTTTCTGTATCTGATTTTAGTTCCATGAAATTCATGCCCAAACACAGCTGCCTGCGTTCATGCGAACAAGATGGCCGCCACCTCGTGGTTGTCCATAGGAATTGCGGAAATTCAGACGAACAATTAGAACACTGCGGTGAAAAACGTTCCAAGTTGTTAATAGGTGTTAATAAGCTCCAGGATGGTCTCTGGTTTGTGCAGTTGTTCGGTAAACGAACCACATAGTCCCAATTGCATGAACAGAGCCTGTTTAAAGTATTTTAGCCAGGTCTATTGTAAGGCCATAGTCACAGGGAAGGAGGCTGGCAAATAGGCTCCTCCAAAAGCCAGTAGCGAGGCTACTATTATGAGTACACCGTTATGCCATTCGGTTTGTGTAATGCCCCAGCTGTTTTTCAGGACTTAATTATGTTTTAAGGGATTATTTACATGAATTTGTTATAGTGTATCTGCAAGATATACTCATCTATTCTAAAGACCTTGAAAGTCGTCATAACCATGTGACTCTTTTTTTCTTTTGAGATTGCTCAAAACGGATTATATTGTAAGATGAAGAAGTGCCTATTTGACATAAAATAAGTACAGTTCTTGGGATATATAATATCTGGTACAGGTTTTAGAATGGATCCAAAGAAACTGAGGCTATCTGGCCATTGCCGATATGCTTGAAAGCCATTCAACGCTTCTTGGTTCCTTAAGGGGTTCTCATACTTAACAGCCCCCATTACCTCCATGACTAAAAAAAGAGGAACCCAACAAGTTTGGGCTCCTGAAGCTCTTGCTGCATTTGAAACACTTAAAACTCCTATTTTGGCACATCCTGACCCTTCTTTGCCATTTTTGTTGGAAGTAGATGCTTCCGAGTCCGGTGTAGGGACAGTTCTCTCCCAAAGATCAGCAGCTGATTAACCCCATCATCCTTGTGGTTATTTTTCGAAGAAATTAACTGACACCGACAAATCATATGACATTGGGAACAGGGAGTTGTTGGCTATAATCATGGCCCTGAAGGAATGGAGACATGAATTAGAGGGATCCTCCATTCCTGTAAAAATCTTCATAGACCATAAGAACTTGTCCTATTTTGGAGAAGCGAAGAGGCTATCAGATAGGCAAGCACATTGGTCTCTGTTCTTGTTTCGTTTTAATTACATTGTGACGTACAGACCTGGTTCCAAAAATATGAAGGCTGATGCTTTATCACTTTATCACCAATTCGAAGACCAGCCTAGTCCCGAGCCCCAATTACAGTCGATTGTCCCTAATGAATGCTTAGAGGCCACAACTAAAGTACAGATTACATCAGCACTGATAGAGTTATTAGAAAACAAAAAGGATTACGCTCCAGAGGATACACCTCCTAATAAGTTGTACATCCCTACAGAACATGCATGAGTCTATGATAGCGGGTCATTCAGGTATCCACAAAAGCTCTTCTATCCAAGAATGGCATGGAATGGCGTACAGCAGATCCTCACGTAGAGAGCTGTAATGCACAAAACCTACGCTGATCAGCGGCGATCTGCAGCCCCTGTGTACGTGGAGGGTGACAGGGTGAGGTTAAGCCCACATAGAGCAGGATTCTCCTCTTCCAACAGCATGTCCCACGCCGGCCGCTGGAGTCACACCCCTTTTTATGATGCAGCACATGCGCGCGGACGTCATTACGTAATAGATGCGGTCCCACATCATCAATACCGGCCTAGAATATTTTGGGGGTGTGGCCTTAAAGCAAAGATCTTTTGCCTTGTTCCTTGCCCTATAGTGGTTCCTTGTGTTCGTTCCTCTTAGTGCTCTTTGAGTCTCCTTGCATATTCACTGTTTTTGTGTACTGACCTGGCTTGGCTTTTGACGTTCCTGTTTTCTGGCTCCCTGACTCGACTTGTATTTTGACCTCCTGATTTCTGGTATCCTGACCTGGCTATTCTTGTATAGTTCTCCTGATCTCTAGTATTCTGATTTTTGGCTATCTTCTGACTACTCTTTTTCACCTATGTACTGACTATTCTAAGGTTCAGTAATACGTGCTTGGGTTTTCTGTGGGTTTACAAACTGCGTGATGGGTTATCACACGGCCATGATAGCATGTATGTGCTCACGTCATCCCCACCCTGGTAATTTATTTCATGCCACCAAGTCTCCGTTATACCAATAATGTCCAACTGTTCTCATCATATGCCAAATAGTCTAGATTCCCCATTTTGTTACTAAGGCTTCATACATTAACAAGAAAGCATTTAAGATTATATGTCTTTCTTAGTTTATCTAAGAAATGTCTAGCAGGTAGCTCCTTACAATCTGTATAATCTTACCATTCTCTCCATCTATATACTTCTGGACTTCTCCTTTCTGTTCTATCTTGCAAACCTTTGTTTTCCTAGTTTAAAGCTACAGTTTAAAGCTGTAGCGTGACCTGGGTAACCCGGCTGGTTATTCCCTTTATTAATAATAGGTCGGACCCATTTTCCCCAGTAACTGGATGACACGCAGTTCCAGGGTACAATCTTTATTTGGGCACACAGCTTTTTATGCACAGACCCCTGCAAGGGGTCTCCATCCAACACAACACAATCCAAGGCAGGAGGGGGCTGCCTGCAGATAACCATCTCTCGCTCTGGGAGTTACCAACAGGACACAGGGATGAGACAGGGATGCCCTGGGATGGTAAGGGGTTACAGGGTTCAAAGTCTGGGGCTCGAGGCTCTGTACATCCCTGAAAGTAGTTCCATGGAGTTGCTTGGTTTAGTCCGGCTAATTCAAACTTCATGTCTAAACCAAGCAACAGCCAATCAGCTGAAAGGGTGCAAACCAAATCACACCAATCAGTGTTCGGGAGAGGAAGGAGTTTCACCGCCTAATCCGTGGAAAAAGCGCAAAACTTGGTTGCACCAATCGGTGTTCAAGGAGGAAAGGGGTTTCGTGGCCCAATCAGAAGAAATGGTGCGAAACCTGATTGCACCAATCCACCGAAAGGCGCAAAACCTATTCTAGCCTCATAGCTGCCAGGTAGGGGAGGTAAAAGTGATTATAGCTCCGTTGTGTGATCGGGTGATCACCGACACGGGAATTGAAGACAGTGCGCGCAGGCCGGTTCGGGAGACGAATGCTCCCCTTGGTGGGCGTTCGGTGATACGAACCAGCGGCCACCCAGGGGAAGCATAAGCGTCTTGTTCCCTTGCAGTCTGCGGTTTTCACACCTCGTCACAGAGGTGTGAACATTCTAACTAAACTTTCTAAATAGAGTATCGGGGTGGTCCAGCACACTGGGATCCGTGTGACCCCGTGTGGTTAAAGGGTACTTTGCATGATTTAAGGTCAAAATTAAGGAAAGGGAAAGAATCACAAAGGGGGAACACACATTCCAGGAGGGCACATCCACACATAGGAAGGGGCAATTCACAGCTAGGCAGCGGTCCCGCCACAAAAGTCTCCTTCAACTGTCTAGCTGTCCTCTACCCCAGTACAGCAGCCCTGTTTTCAATTTAGGTGCTATCCATCATGGCTAAGAAGATTGTACACAAGTGTAAAATTCTCCCACTGCTCTTAAAACCTCCCTGATCTCTTTCCTTTCTGGCGTGTGGAACAAGAGATATTTTAGAAAATATCACATTGGAGGTTCTCTTCATCAGATTGTTTCCCAATTCCTTGAACTCATTCTTTAGGATCCTCCATCTTCCAGTGTTTGTGTCACTGGCCCAATATGTACCATGAGAGCTGAATCACCTCCCAATAATGTATCCACTCTCTCAGCAACCGGTCATCTCCAGCCCCCTGACAAGAAAAGGGTAACCTATTAATTGTGATAGGTTCTAGCCCTCTTCTTGCATCCAATAAATTATCTTTTTATTCTATGTGGTGATTGATATCAGTTGAGGTAGAGGTTAGTAACATGCAGATGTTAAGGATCCTTTATAAATTAACACGTTTATAGTGTTTAAAAAATTTAACATTTTAATTGTCTTTTAAAACATCGTAATTGTCTAAAGACATTGTCTTGTAAAATGAAGTGGAGAAATACAATTTCATTACCTGAACATAGCTTATTTTTATGCCAGTCTAATACTTTAACCTTCACTTCACCACCTAAAAGAAAAACAAGAAAAAAAAAATCAACCAATTACAAGAAGGATGTCATATGTCAATGTCTGCATATATCAATAAAACTCTTTTCTTTACTGAGAGTGGGAAAATAATGAAAAATGCTTAATTTACATACAAGACAGTGTGGCTTACATCTCAGAACAGAAGTAGCACTGATCTGAGATCTCTGACTACTGCCTTGCTGAATTAAAAGCAATTGCAAACACTGATTTTGAATGTATTGGCTGATGAGGCAGAGGCTCAAATGACAGATTTTTCATCCCCTTAAATATCAGAGAAATTAAATATGTATTACAATGTTGAGTAAGAGCTGGATGACTGTCATTCATGATCACCTACTATTGGTTAACGGAAATGGCAGAAATCTGTAGCCTCACATATAAGATTCTATTACTTTGTTAGTTGTACAGCACAAAGTGTGTAAACAAAAGTGCATTGTGGATAGAGATATTAATGTGGTCATCAAAAATAATAATTAGTGAAATTATATAATCTGACTTTAAAGTGTGATATAAAAAATGAGTACATTAGGGGCAGAACTTAGATCCTAAAGTGGACCAACACACTGTCTAATTTGGGTAATACTGCAACCCTGGCCAATGTGGGTTGAAATACCAAGAAGGCCTTTATAAGTGACTCAGTTTGAAAGCCCAGAAAGCTGTTTCACTTCACAAAAAAGAATTACATCAGCAACATACCAGATCATATTCAAGCAAAAGTTGACAAACCTAGAGATGGACAACATGAATGACGATGCCAAACAAGTCTGAAATGATTGTCTGGGGCTGCTGTATCTCTTATGCAGATAGAGCCGGTCTTTTTTTTTTGGATCTGTTCTTCCCTTTTGGGTGGGATCAGTCTGATATGCAAATGGCCCTGGTTCTTTTTTTAATGTCACAAGATGGGCTAAAACCAGTTTGAAATATGAGGGGGGACCAACTGAAGGGCAGGATATTAGAGCTGGTGTCCATTCTCAGTACTCTGTTGCAATTCGTTTTTTGCTCTCACTGACTATGCCTAACAACACTGAAATGATCATCTGGGGTTGCTGTATCTCTCGTGCAGAGAGCTGCCCTGCATTTTGGATCTGTTCTGTCCTTTTGGGTGGAATTAGTCTGATATGCAAATGGTCTGTGTTACGGCACCCCCAGGCATAAAAGGTGTTAGGAGATATTCCCTTCCCAGATATACAGGCAGCTACCAAAGGCACCAATTCGCCGAACAGGAAACCATATGAATGCTGTAAACAGCTGAATAGGAAAAACCATACAAATAGGTTTACACTCCTAGCAGTCGAACTGCAACAGCATACAATAAATCCCCCCAAGAACGAGACAAGGCTCCGTTTTGAGGGTTAAGCAGGAACAGCCAGAGCTGTGGGTTTCATGGTTCTTATATACACATTCTTACACTTACATTTTCAGAATCAGTATACTCCAAATACAAACATATGTCAAAATCATCCAAATTGGTCCAGTTGTTCAAAAGATAGATCGTAGTCCTTTGTGACCAAATGAAGCATGGCTTTTCTGCCCAAAACCAGTTGCCCAGAGTCTTCTATCCTGGAGATAACTGGGAAGTAATCCAATTATCTCCAAGGACAGAGGCAAAACTCCATTGAACACATGGCAGCAAAAGACAATAAAATACATAAAAAAAATATAACTGTGCAGCCATTGCATAAAACAGGTACATTCAACATATCCCCAGATAGCTCAGATCTGAGCGCACATTATTACTGAATGGCGCTCAGATCACACACATACAGTTCAATTGCCATGGAGCCAAAGTCTTTCCCATAGTCTTTCATTATACGAATGGGCTCCATGGCATAGCTATCTGGGGTATCACCGCTCAAACAGGGCAAGCACCAATTGACTCGGCTTTCGTGTCTTTGCAGGGGAAAATCAAGTGTTTCAACATGGGGCCATAGTCTAAGGGGAGCAGGCGGGCAACCAGGCTCCTCCAGTGCTATGTGGCGAGATTGCTCTCCTAACATCACTCCCATTTTCCAGAGAGACTAACAGGGTATCTGACCTCCTGCCCGTCAGTGCCCTGGTTAGTCCAGCAGCCCACCCACGAAGCACAAACAGCAGTACAGCCCACCCACAATAACTGGGTAGAGGAGAAACTTGTCCATGTTCAGGTGCCTCCCCACGGCTGTGTGGGGGACTGGTAGGCTGCCTTGGTCGGTTGCTGAGTGGGCAGAGACCAGCGGTACTCTGCCTTGGTGCCAGTGCTACCGTGGAAGTAGCCTGGCTGGAGCCTGGTTGTGGGAGGGGGAGACCGACTGTCTCCCCTTTAGATACACAGTTCTGCTGCTGGAGGGGGAGACTGACTGTCTCCCCTTTGGATACACAGCTCTGCTGCTGGAGGGGGAGACCGATTGTCTCCCATTTGGCTAAACAGCCCTGTTGCTGGGGGACAGGACCGACCGTCCCTTCCCCCTGTGCTGTAAGTGCAGAGACCACGGTCCCATCTGCACGGTTGTGGAGCTTACCTTGGGTATGTCAAGCTGCCGCTGGGGAGAGGGGGTAACAAGCTCCTCTCCCATACATACTTCCAGCCGCGGGGGAGGGAGACCGACTGTCTCCACTCCCAATACTGAGTCCTGCTGCTGAGGAAAGGAAACTGGGCTCTCTATTCCCTGTAGGACACTCTCCCACTGGGGAATGAAGACTGTGCTCCCAATTCCCTGTAACACACGCTGCTGCTGGGAGACAGGACCGACGGTCTCTGCCCCTGGTAACAAAGCCTGCTGCTGGGGAAAGGAGACTGGGCTCTCAATTCCCTGCAGATCACACTGCCGCTGGGGAGAGGGGGTAGCAATCCCACCCGAACAGGAAACCATATGAATGCCGTAAACAGCTGAACCGGAACCATACGAATGCTGTAAACAGCCGAATAGGAAAAACTATACGAATAGGTTTACACTCCAAGCAGTCAAACTGGAACAGCATACAATAAATCCCCCCAAGAACGAGACAAGGCTCAGTTTTGAGGATCAAGCAGGAACAGCTGTGGGTTTATTGTTCTTATATACACATTCTTACACATTAGTACCACCCACAGGGTTTTGGAAAACAACCAATAAACACGTACAATACACTCAGACACTCCCACACAAAATCCTCCCCTCTGCCTGTGATACAATTACCTTACACAATGGGTAATGCAATTATCACAGGCAGAGAAATACAGTTTTTCCACATTATTCATAATTTTAAAAGTATGCATAACATTGACATAAAAAAACTTACGTTTTCAGAATCAGCATACTCCAAATACAAACATACGTCAAAATCATACAAATTGGTCCAGGGGTTCAAAAGATAGAGATAATTTGGAAGTAATCCAATTATCTCCAAGGACAGAGGCACGTTATTACTGAATGGCGCTCAGATCACATACATACAGTTCAATTGACAAAGTCTTTCCCATAGTCTTTCATTATACAAATGGGCTCCATGGCATAGCTATCTGGGGTATCACCGCTCAAACAGGGCAAGCACCGAACGACCCGGCTTTCATGTCTTTGCAGGGGAAAATCAAGTGTTTCAACATGGGGCCATAGTCTAAAGGGAGCAGGCGGGCAACCAGGCTCCTCCAGTGTAATGTGGCGAGATTGCTCTCCTCACAGACTGGTTCTTTTTTTTGTAATGGTACAAATGAGCTATAAAAAAATAGCTTGAGATCTGACTGGGGAACCACCGAAGGTATTGAGCTGCTATATGAGCTGCTGTCAGTTTTCAGTACTCTCGTGCAACTTAATTTTTTGCTCTCATCAAATATACATACAGCTTTATGATCTGGGTTTACCAACCTTCATGCAATGGTCCATGTCATGTGGGAGGCCTATGGTCACGTTACTTGATTATCTGAGTTTTAAAAGCTCCCTACTGCAATCCAGGACATAGCTCAGAGGCCCGCCCACCCCTCCTCTCACCACCCCACCCCAAGTTCCTTACTACATTTATAGATAGAATTTCACACACAACTTTAGATAATTAGACATGGCAGCTGCAAACATTAAAAACATTAATAATCAGCACACTCTGTTACGACACGTACCGTCGGGTAAATGAAGCCGCCGTTTAGTCAATAATCCCCTTCTCCAGAAATGCAGTTTAAATCCAGCCGACCGCCAAACTCCCGAACGAAGTCCAGGAAAACGGCAACTCCCGATCAGCAAAACAGTCTAACGCCTTCCACAGCTAAAAATAACGAAAGCGCTGTCCCAGTAATAATTCCCCCACAAACGAGACCAAGCTCCATCTTCAGGGTCAAATGAAGATCTGTTTAATGGGGGCTACCTGCCCGGTATTTATGCAGGTCTCCACAAGGTGGACACTCCCCGAGGGGACCTTGTGGAAGACTGTAAAACATATTGGACAGTAGCCAATCGCAGTGGCTTCAATAATAGCCCTTCCCATCTTGCCCATAATTCCGTCTTCTCTACCTCGGAGATAATTAGGAAGAAACCTAATTATCTCCCAAGGTAGAGACAATCGCCATTTTAACTTACAATAATAAAAATACATTAAAATACATAACTGCAGAAATACCGAATGCATATAGTTCGTGTAACGTATCCCCAGACAGCCTGGATCTGAGTGCATGTTTTCACCGAATAGCGCTCAGATCTGATGTATCTAGTCGAATCGCCATGGAGTCAAAGTCTTTCACCAGTCCTTCGGTATACGAATGACTCCATGGGATGGCTGTCTGGGTGAAAGTCCATACGAATGAATAAAACTCCCGAACGACCGACGTTCGCATGCCTTGTCGAAATGGAAGGTAGGCAGCAGCTTCCAGCAGTGTTCGGTAGTTTAAGTGTCCGTTTTTAGTTCCATACAGTTTGTACCGAACACCGCTATGTGTTCGTATGTCCCAAAATGGCCGCTGCCTCGTGGTCGACATGCGAACGACGACCACCCGTACGAATGGAATGGAGAGGTGTCTGCGGTTAACCACAACGTTCTAATTGGGGCCAAGAGGTTAACCAGCAGCACACTCCTCTCCTGGGTGGTCGTTCGTTCGATAGTTTCAAACGGTAGTTTGCAAATTCCACGAACGGGGTTATGTGAACAGGCAATTCAGCGAACAAAGGGAAATAGACGAACCAGCAATACAGATGAATCTGTCACACACTCCTTCATTCATTTAACCCCTAACACTCAGTCCTCATTCTGTTTTCCTCAAAGTGCCTACTCATAGGAGCAATGCTTTATCTTCTCCTCTTCTTTCATCCCCTTATACCCACTTCCCTCAACAACACAATTACATTAACATTAATCCCTCTCTGCTTCACTCCCCACTTCTCTCATCTCAAGCCTTGCACTCATTTCTCTATTTTCTCTCTCCTGCTCTAACTCAATCTCATCGTAGACCCCGCTCATATAGAACCCACTCACACATTCTGTCACTATCTCTCCTCCTACTTCTAGCAGCTGGTGATGTCTCACCCAACCCAGGACCCTTCACCTCATCTATTCACACTAAGACAACCAGAAACCACACAAACCTCATCCACAAACCCTGCAGTTTATCATCCTTTACCAACATTCAGTGTGCACTGTGGAAAGCCCGTTTAATCTGTAGTAATATTAAATCAACAGCTATACACGACCTTGTCATCTCTAACTCACTCACAATATTGGCACTCACTGAGACCTGGTTGTCCTCCTCTGATACTGCTACTCCTGCATCTTTATGTTTCGGTGGACTACAATTCTCCCACACTCCCAGACTCAACTGTAAAGGAGGCGGTGTAGGCATCCTTCTCTCCCTGCAATGTACCTTTCAACCTATCCTCCCTGCCCCTGCTCTTTTTTTTTACTTCCTTTGAAGTTCACACTGTCCACCTTTTTAAGCCCACTCCTTTAAGAATTGCCATCATCTATCGCCCCCCAGTCATCCTAGGCTATTCATCGAACACTTTTCTTCATGGCTACCCCACTTTCTCTCCTCTAGCACTTCCTCCCTCATACTTGGGGACTTTAACATCCCAATCAACAACCTCAACTGCCCTGATGCCTCCCGTCTGCGCTCTGTAACCTCCTCCTTTGGCCTCACGCATTTGTCTACTTCAGCAACTCATACGGTAGGAAACACTCTTGACCTCATCTTCACCAATCTCTGTACTACCTCTAATCTCTCCACTGTTCCATTTCCTTTGTCTGA